TCATGGCCTCTAAAGGCTTGGGATCACCCATTCCACTTCCAAATTTTACTATCAAATGAGAACGCAAAACTTTTTTTCTCTGGTGCTATACACTGAAACCAGGGCCTTGTCAGGCTGGTGCTTAACCACTAGGCTAGACTCCTAACACCATAATAGAACTGTGGCACCAAAGGACTAAGTCTCCACTTAGTGAATGTCAACATCTTTACTGTTTAGTGCGATGTAGAAGAGAAATGCCCTGGCTGTGAGCCTCTTCCCAACATGCGTGGTGCAAGTGGTTAGATTTTATATTCAGATATATGTCAAGACATAAGGAGGGGAGGGCTGAAAAAAACAGCTCAGTGATTAAGAGCAGTTATTGCTCCTGTAAGATGGCCTGGGTTCAGTTCCCAGGAGCCATATGGTTGCTCACAACCATCCAGTTCCAGGAGTATTATACAGTAATTCCTTTTCAGGAACCACATGATGCCTGCCCATATAAACACGCAGGCAAAAACACTCATACACATAAAACAATAAAAAGACATGAAAAAGTTAGGCATTCAGTTCAGTGGCAGAGCACTTACTGAATGTTATGGTATGAGTACCGCCTATCCCCACAAGGCCCTAGTGGGTGGGTCTTAGGGGTTATAGCCTAGACAGATTCCAGCTGAGGCCCTCTCTCTACTTCCTGATCTGCTCAGATGAGAGCAAGTTGACTCATGTTTCCTCATGATGAGATTTTTCATCCCTTAAATACCTAAAGTCTTGTCAGGCATTTGGTCAATGTGGAAATGAACTGGTGTATCTAGCAATCACAAGGCCAGGCCTGGGATGGGTCCCCAGGACTGAAAACCTTCTGTGGCATTGTGGAATATTAACCTTGGAATAAAACAGCAAGTACCATCTTAATCATAGCTGCTGGTTACCCTCAAGAGGCCACGAGCAAGACAGCAGCTGCTTCCCCACAGGGGAGGTCATTAGGCCCTCACCTGAAACACCAGCCACCATTCCCTCTTGTACACCACACCCTCGATGCATTGATTCTGCCTGAGTGGCACACGGTTGTGAGGCATGCTAGAGTACACAGGAGGAAAGGTACCTGAAGGGCGCAGGCTCCATTTATGCAGCCTTGGGGAGGCTGACCCAGTGCTGAAGCTCACTTTGCTGTGATAAGCTGTTTTGGAGTTATCTACACTCCTGTTAGCAGCCTTCCCCATGCTCTAGAAACACATCAGCAAGCTATACCAGCAGAAGGGTTCTCATCTGAGGTGGTAGCCCAGGAAAAGTTAACACAAAAGGTGCTAAAACTTGTCTTATACACAATACCCAGGCCATTTTGCCACCACTGCCTGGCTTTTATTACAGATATGAATGTTTCTACTACATTACACTGAATATTTGAGTCTTCAAAAAGAGGTTAAACTAAATGACACATAGCACATTATGAATAATCATGAACATTTATTAAGCACCAAAGGTATACAGCAATGGCTGCTATATAAAAAGCACATTATTGATATAACTCCTGCCATTAAGCTTACAATCTAAAATAAAATACAAGAATATTGTCAGCCTATGTCAAAGTTTCCTTAACTTGGAATCAGCTACTCTGGCAAATGTATGAGGCAAAGTGACCTATTTCAGGTGCTGGGCGGTGGTGGCACACACCTTTAATTCCAGCACTCAGGAGGCAGAGGCAGGTGGATCTCTGTGAGTTCGAGACCAGCCTGGTCTACAGAGCCAGTTCCAGGACAGGCTCCAAAGCTACAAAGAGAAACCCTCTCTCAATCCCCAACCCTCCCCCCCCCAAAGAGAGCTATTTCAGGCAAAATGTTAATAAAGCTTTGAACATGACACAAAAAGTATTTTATCTGTACCTATTTTCCCCATTACATTAGGATAACTAAAGACAAAAAGAGCACTTAGAAATTTGATAAGCATAATGAATTATTTCAGATTGCCCCTAAAAATTCAAATGGAGATGTTCCCTGGCAAATGCCAGCAGCTAGTGAAACCCAACAACAAACAGGAAATAGACCAAGACTTTGTCTTTGCCACTTAAACTTCTCCATCTTCTTCCACACTAAGGGCTCCTGCGACATCCCACAAAGAGAGGCACCATATCTAGCTGAAGTATCATATAATTACCAAGTCAAACCTGCAGGAGTATTCCTGTCTGGAGGACGGCCCAAAAACAGCAGTGGGAACTATGTGCTGACATGTGAGATGGGTCAGCACAGGTGCAGGCCATACATCTCCAGAGTATGAGGGAAGCATGTGAGGTCCATAAGAACTCAGCATCAAGACCCCAGACTACAAACTCCACTTGCCTAAACTCGTGTGTGTGACCCTCCATAAATACTTTTAAGGTACTCACTGCTTGTCATTATGAGCTGACAAAGGCACACTGAAGAAATCTTGGTTCTTATTGTCAAAGACAATTTTAAATGCTAAACAAACACAAAGCATGTATTGTTTTTAATTATTTGCAATTTTCTTAATCCCAAAAGAACATTAAAAAATAAAGTAACTGGTTACAAGTTAGTTATCTGAACACAGAAATATATTCTATAATGTGCATAACCAAGTATTTTTTAAAAAAATTCATGACTACAAACATTTTAATGGCAGAGTAACAGCATCCTGAGATACCCTTTCTTGTGTATATGTGTGAGTATATTATTTCTGAAAGTATACATTTGTGGATGTGCATGTGGAGGCCAGATGTCAATCTTGGATGTCCCTCCCAGGTTTTCCCCTTGGATCTGGGGCTCACCAGTTAGGTTGAGTTGGCCACCCAATGAGTCCAGGGATCTGCTCACCTCCAGGTTCAAACTCAGGTCCTAAGACTGGTGTGACAAGTACTTTACCGACTGAGCTCTTTCTGGGCTCCTTAGAAGCCTTTATGGCAAAGCGATATATAGTGTTTTTGCTCATGGGGATGTTTTGGGGGACAGCATCTCACATTGTAACCTAGGAATGGCCTCCAACTCATGGAAACCTTCCTGCCTCAGCCTCCCAAGTGCTGAGACTACAATGGGAGTCACCATAGCCAGCAATGCTGCCTATATACATATTTTATAACTTACAAAAAAAAGTAACATGTTAGCAGCAGAAACATCTTTAAAATGTTCATACTTTTGCATATTGAGTTTATACAAAAAGAATTTCCCAGACATTTCAGGATAAAAGTTTTTATAAAATAGAACTGATTTTTAACTAAAGTTACTATTCTTATTACCCTTTTTCAATCTAAAAGTCTCATTTATACGTTTTTACTATCTTATAGTAGATAAAAGCCAATTATGACATTTGAAATGAAAAAACTTAGAACATATATCAGCATCATTCTACTAAGTGGACAGGGATTAATCTCCACTGGTTTCCTGAGAACAGAATTTTAAAAAGTTTGTATCAGTGGCAAATGATTCTAATTTTATAAATCTCAAATAATTTTTATTTGGTATTATATGAAACATCTAAAATTCCTGATTAGGAGATGCAGTTTTCTAAGGCCTTAGATTGTATATGAAGCACAGATATTAGCACACAGGTTAGTATGATGCACAGAGCCACTTTGTTTACAACAAGGTTTCAATATGCAGTCTTGGCTAACCTAGGACTCTCAGAGATCTGTCTGCCTCTGTATTCAGAGTGCAGGGATTGAAGACCAGTGCTGCCATCCATGGCTCACACCCACTTTTGAAAGTGATACATTCCACGCTGCATAATATTTCATCTCATGTCCTACTTGAATACTGTGTATTTTACATTAAGCTTAAAAGCATAATTGTGTAATATATTTTTAATGCTTCATTTTTTCCAATATCACAGAGTGTGCAGTATTTTAAAGGTTAACTAGTATAGATTTTTGTTTATTTTGCTAAAGAATGTAAAAGACATCTTAGTGGCTACAGCAACTTTATGAAGTAAGTTCATTAGGAGAAGAAAACAGAATACTAAGCATAGTGATTTAACAAAAATTCAAGTCATTCTGAAAAGTGTTTGCTTCTTAGTAATATGCATGTTCCTTTTACAGCACTAATTGGATAAACACACTAAGACTGCATAGGAATTATTTTGGTAGTTTACTTATCTTCCTTATATCCTTCTCCAGTATATGAGTGAGAGATTATTTTCTTATAATATAAAAGAAAGCAGAGTCTAGACTATTTTAAAATCTAAGTCATGTAAAAGCTGACTATAAATCTCAGAGTATTCATTTTTATTTGGTATTATATAAATAGCTAGCATTCCTGATTAGGGGATGCAGTTTTTTAAGGCAAGGCAAAAGGTTTATGCATGCAGCATAGATATTAGCACACAGGCCACATGACATACACAGCCGTGGCTGACCTAGGACTGAGGTGACATGTGGAGGTTAGAGGACAGGGGGAGTGAGTTCTCTTTCCACATGGACCCAGCAAGGGTCTGCAGAGCAGGGTACTTAATTTTGAAGAGTTAAATTCATGTTTTGGAGGACAGGCTTAATTAAAATTACCCTTTAACACGTTTTTTTTTTCCTTCCTTCGTCTCCCCCGCCTCTATGTATGTATGTATGTATGTGTATATATATATGTATATATATATACATATACATATATATATATACACATATACATATATATATATATATATTAATGTCCACAGACTGCTAAGGCTAAAGTCCTGATTTCATCTGCATTTTACAACGGAATAAACATTTTTTTTCTTTTTCTTTTTCCTTTTTTTTTTTTGGTTTTTCGAGACAGGGTTTCTCTGTATTGTTTTGGAGGATGTCCTGGAACTCGTTCTGTAGACCAGGCTGGCCTCGAACTCACAGAGATCCGCCTGCCTCTGCCTCCCAAGTGCTGGGATTAAAGGTGTGCGCCACCAACGCCCGGCTACATTTTTTTCTTTTTAAATCAGCAAAAGGAAATGAAGAAAACCATTCTCTCTAATGTTTTGATACACCTTTAGATAAGAGTGGATCAAAAAGAAGTAATATTGGCTAGAAGAGAGAACAAAACAAAACATAACCCAAACCAGAACTTATTTCCTTCCTAATGTCTCAGCTAGTTTCTTAAGTCTTTTCTTCAGCTCCAATGGAAATTTCTCATAGCACTTCTTGCAGACTGGCTTCATGTCAAACTCCACAAATTTATTCCTAAAGGCAATTATATATAAAAAAGAAATTAGTGGAAATGTATACAGTGCACATGAATGCGCACACACACTCACACACAATAATGTGATATAAGTTCACTAAACTACATATAAAGACAGCATATAACATACCATATAAAGTGTCTATATTCATGTCAGTAAAGAACTGTAATTCTAATCTCAATTCTTATGACAAATGTAAAGAATGATTGGTAAACTGGGTGGTGGCGCACGCCTTTAACCCCAGTACTGGGGAGGCAAAGGCAGGCAGATCTCTGTGAGTTTAAGGCCAGCCTGGTCTATAAAGATAGTTCCACAAGAGAGAGGGCTACACAGAAAGACCCTGTTTTGAAAAAACAAACAAAATCCAAAAACATCAATTGGTATCAGTTAAGAAAATACACTTATTTAATGATCCTATACACATTTATTTAGAACATGGAATGTTTACTAAGTATTCCAGGAAATCTAATGTAAATATAATTTAGATAAAACAAATCAAGTTTTATTTGTTTATTTAATGTGTATGAGTACTTTGCCTGCACATGTGTCTGTGCAATACGTGGCGTTCATGGAGATCCAAAGAGTCAGATCTCTGGGACTGGAGTTAGAGATGGTTGTGTGTGCTGAAGACTTGAACCTGGGTCTTAACCACTGAGCCATCTCTTTAGCCCAAGTAAGTTGATCATATTTTGAAGTATCAGGCCAATGCTTTCTTCTTCTCAGTGCCTCCCACCCACTAGTTTGTTGAGATAGTCTCATGCTGAAGTCCAGGCTGGTCTAGAACTCAGGGTGATTTTCCTTTCTTAGCTTCCCCAGTGCTGGCACTGTAAGGGTAAACCACTATGACTGTCACCAATAAATGTAGTTAAACAAATAACTGGTTTTTATAATGTGAGTGACTTACTTTTTAAAGGTAAGAGGATTTTACCATTTAGTATTTTGAATTAAGCTGCTATATGGTTTCATCTTTCCTGTACAAATAATTTTCTTTCTATCTCCTAATTTAAAAAATTACCTTAATTAAAAAAAAAAGCTTAAATCGTAACAGGCCACTTTAGCAACTCGGACAAAAAAGCTGGTAATCATTCTTGAACTCTAAGGTAATGGCCCTACCCTTAAGTATTCACCATTCTTCTTTTAAAGCTAGAACAACACATAGTATCAATCTACTTGGAAACAATGCAGGAGAAAACAACTCTTAGTCAGTCTCCATCTCTAACACACACAACTAACTGCAGGAGCTTTGTGTGGAATTCCAAGGTCTGTAACTTTGAGTTAGTATATAACTTTACAATTGTCTATTTGCTGTGAAGTTATATACTTGGCAAGCGTTTGTAGAACATGCCCAGTAGTACACAGTTATGAATGACAATTATTACAAAATGTGCTTAGATCTTAATGCATCTTAAAGCACATTAAAGTGGACTATTTGTTTTGAGACAATTTTGTTTGTTTGAACTCTCAGTGTAGACTAGGCTGGCCTTGAACTCACAGAGCTCTGCCTGCCACTATTTCCTGAGTGCTACACTTAAGGTGTGTGGCATCACATCCAGCATTGAAGTAGTTTCAAAGAACAGTGTTAATACAAGAATAATTCCTATTCACATATTTAAAAATACCTTTTTCCATTTTTTATATTACTATAATTATATACGGCTCAGGGTGGCCTTGAACTCAAGACAATCCTGTTTCAGCCTCCCAAGTGCTAGAATGACAGCTATAAGCTTTCCATCCACTTTTTACAAAGAAACTAACACTGATACTAATTCAAATGTTAAATGTTGCCAGTTGGCAAATCAAACACTTGAGGGGCACTTTGGTTTAAATGGAGGTGAGAACAAGCTCGTATGTACATGTCTTACTCTTCTGTGGCCTAAGCTCAGCGCTTCTGTCACAGTGACAAAGACGCCTTTTCTCTGTGATATTTAAATGGTAGTGGGCTCCTACTCTTGGTTTAAGAAATGTATTTCAACCTTTGATATTTTGTTGAATTACTGACAAGATTGTTATTTTCCTCCCTCATGGTGTTTTGAACTCTAAAACAAATTTCATTTTATTTTCTTATTTCCTTTTGTTGAAGAATTAAAAGGCAAATATAAACTACAAACAAGAGAACAGTTAGTCTGTCTAAAGCAGGAATTTTTGTTTGTTTGTTTGAGACAGGGTTTCTCTATGTAACTGCTCTAGCTGTCCTGTTACTCGCTTTGTAGATAGCATAAACTGACCTTGAACTTAGAGATCCTTTTGCCTCTGACTCCTGAGTGCTGGAATTAAAGGTGTGTGCCATCATCATCAGACTAAAGCAGGAATATTTAAACTTTTGCCCACCAAACAGCTCTTGTGCTAAGAAAACATTGGGAAGATATTTAGTTTAGCTATGCCCACAGAGGCAGGCATGTGCATACAAGCCAGTGTTAAGTATGGCTCTGATTAAGTTTTATAATTATAATAGGTGAAAAAACCAACTCTACATAGGCCAAGTATTTCAATCTTTGACGGCCACAAAAACATGCAAAAAAGTACAAAAAGACAGGCAGAAAGGAAAGGCACCCTGAAAGACTGACCACAGAGGAAGCATGAGAATGGCGTGGAAGGGACAGAGCGTTTACAGACACACTGGCTTTCTCTTTCTCTGCTTGTCTTTATCCTTTGCTTCTCTCTCCCGTTTGGCGAGTCGCCTCTTAAACTCTTCGGGCATTTTCTCATAACAGTATTTGCAGACTGGCTTTAGATCAATTTCAACAAACTTATCCCTTTGAGTAGAGCAAAGAAGGGACAGAACAGGAACAATTAAAGAACAACATTTATATTCAGAAGGACTCAGGAGAAAGAAGAGGCAGGCATCAATCACTTCCCTTTCTAGATTCTAAGTGGCATTGAAAACTTCTAGCTTTAGTAGTCATGACGGCTAGATCAAGGACTTACTTGAGTGTTAATTTGGTATTGCAGGTGGAACAGGCAAAGCAGCTCACACACCAGGCCTTGTTGAGGGCAGAGACCACTGGGGGGAAAAGAGATCCAATTACATGGGAACATTTCACTGTGGGAAGCGGGGGCTTCAGTTTTCAACTCTGAAAAACAAAGAAAGCTGTTCCCAAGTACCTGGAGGAGGAGCCCAAGCCTTCTTTCTTGAGAGGTCCCTTTTTTTCCTTTATTTTCCTGACACTGGACTTGTCTGAATAACAGTCCTGGCTGACCTGGAACTTGATTTGCAGACTAGGTTGTCCTCGGACTCACTGACATTGGCCTGCTCTGCCTCCCAAGTGCTGGGATAAAGGTGTGTGCCATCACCACCATCACCACTCAATTATCCTTTATTTTTGATAGAGTCCTATTCTGTAACCTAGGCTAAGAAAAACTCCTGATTTCTCTACCTTAGCCTCCCTGGTTCTGGAATTATATATGTGCATCACCATGCCTGGTAAGAGGTCTTTTTTTTTCCTTGCCAAAACACAGTCAAAAAACTCAATGCTACTAATGTGCTTTCAACAAATCTTTTTTTTTTTTTTTTAATGTGTATCAGTGCTCTACCTGCATGTACATCTTGATTCCAGAAGAGGGCATCAGATCCCACTATACATGGTTGTGAGCCACATGTGGTTTCTGGGAATTGAACTCAGGACCTCTGAAAGAGCAGTCAGTGCTCTTAACTGCTGAATCAATTCTCCAGCCCTATTATGGCCATCCCCCCCCCACTTATTTGTTTGTTTTTTGAGACAAGGTCTCACTATATAGCTCTTGGCTGGCCAGGAACTCACTATATGTGGACCATAGAAATTTGCCTGTGTCTGCTTCCTGTACCACCAAGCCTGGTTTTATTTTATTCACATTATTTAAAAAAACAGGTTTCAATTTAAGTAAGACTATTTCTGACTTTAATCTTTTTCGTCTTGCACTTGTCCCTGTGTGTGGGTGCACATGTACATGCGTATCTGTGTGAAGAGAAGCCTGAGGTTGACACGGGAACTTTCTTGGATCACTCTCAATCTTATTAACTGAGGAAAGGTCTCTTAGTTGAACTCAGAGCGGTGACTACAGCTAGTCTGGTTACAGCTTGCTCTGGGGAGCCCTGCCTCACTGCACTGACAGGCAGGGGCACTGCACAGGCAGCGTTTACAGCGTGAGGGACAGAATTCTGGTCCTCATGCTAGCAGAAGCATTTACCCTCTGGGCTATCCCAAGCCCCATTTTGCCTTTTTTAGCTTTTAATTTCTCTTTACTTACAAATCAGAGACATCAGTACTATTCCCTCTCTGCCGTGTCTCTGTCTCAGATAAGAAAACGTTAAACTCCAGACTTTATCTGACTGTGAGTGGTGTTTCTTTCAAAGATGACACTAAGAATCTAACTTCTTTTGTCTATTTTTCCAACTGTCTCCGCAGTTCAGCTGATTTGCAAGGGCACTAAAGATGGTTCCCGGACTAACCTTGTTACTCTCTGCTGCTTTCCAAAAAGCACTTCCTGATTAGGTGATGTCTGCTGAGAGCCATGACATGTTGTCAACAGTGTTGTTTAGAACTCTGGCAGGGAATTTCTGGCAGGGCTGGCTAGTGACCATTAGCAAACACAGCTGCTTTCCCCATGTTGTTGCCAATCTGTCCTGCCTGGTTAGCCCATGCGATAAGTTCTAACAACTCGGAACACAGCTTACAGCAGCAGCGCTGCCTCGTTAGCCCATCTCTCTGCTGTAGAGCACTTGAGAAGCATACCAACAGCAAACAACTGATATTGACCACATCACAACCCACAGCAGCAACCAGCTTCCTTCACTTTTCACACCACCCAAGTGTTCTTATGCCAAAGTGGTCCCACCCATCCACAGATACATACCATCACCTTCTATGACACGGTTGCAGTGGAAACAAACATCACCAAACAGCTGAGAAGGAAGACAAGAAACGGTGGTGAAAGCTCAAGGTATGTTGGAATTAAGTATTTAACAAGTATTTATATGATCCTTTCTGTTTACCTCTGAAAAACAAGTAGCTGGCAACTAAATTGTAGAATTTATTCTTTCTAGAGAAAATTAATAATTGATTCGTTACAATGAAAAATCATTCACTTTCATCATTTAAACATATCTTTCCTGGTTACAATTTGAGCACCAAAATAATTAATTAAAAACAATACAAGTGCCTTTAAGTCCTTACAGATACGAAATGCACAGACAAACAACCATGATTAGGGAAGATGGTGGCTGTTGCAGCAGAGCACTGAGGGCCAACTGAGCAGGGAGGGCATTAAGTTGGGTAACCATCACTTCCACCCAGAGCAGGCAGCATTATTGCATGTCACCAATCTAAGGAGAAGCTGGCGAGAAGCGGCACATTTTTAGACAGAAAGTGACTATCCACAGTTATCCACTTATGTTTGTTGGATATAAGGGAAGGGGGAAACAGCAACTCACAATACAGATACAGCCAACACCAAGCCTGGATGGCACCAACGGAGCAGCAATGAACACAGAGGAGAGGCACTGAGGAGGACATACCACTGCCTGCTCAGTGTCCTAGCCAAAAGCCCAAATAGTCACGGAGAACAAACAGAGGAGCCCAAGGGAAAGGGGATCTATTAAGGAGACTGGAGATGGTCCATGTTTGAGGAGGCTAAAGAAATACAACGAATGACACCAGTCTTAGTGCAGGGAAAAAAAAATGCTATAAGAACATTATTGAAGTCTGGTGGTGGTGGTGGTGGTGGTGGTGGTGGTGGTGGTGGTGGTGGTGGTGGTGGTGCATGCCCTTAATCCCTGTGCTGGGGAGGTAGAGGCAGGTAGATCTCTGTGAGTTCAAGGCCAGCCTGGTCTACAGAGCAAGCTCCCGAACAGCAAAGTTACAGAGAAACCCTATCTTGAAAACAAAAGCAAAAAACAAAACAAAAGAACATTACTGAGCTGTGGGCAATGGTTCAAACCAGCACTTGGAAGGCTATTGCCATGATACAATGAGACCCTGTCTCCAGATATATAGATAAGTAAATTCCTAAGCAATAAAACTGAAGTAAACTAAATTATTATATATCAATACTAACAACTGTGATATAAAAAGACCTTTGAACTCCAGGAAAATATACATTGAAATGTACTAGGTAAAGGAACATGACTGCATCAAACACTTACTATTAAAAACTCTGACCCCTAACTGAGGAGCTAGGACAGTTGATGGCTTCTGGGGGAAAGAGAGTTAACCTTTCTTTAAGAGTGTAGCTCCTGTAAGTTGACCAGTGGATAGCTGCACAACCAAATGTAAAAGGGAGCACAAACTGGCGTAGATGGGTTATTAAAAAAAAAATGACATGAAACTGGGGGGTTATAAGAAGGTGGGGTATAGGAAGGTGGGGTAAATCTGGGAGGAGTTCGAGTGAGGTGGAAGTGAGTTAAAACACACTATATGAAATTCTCAAAGGATTAACAAAAAATATTTTTCAAAAACCTATCATAGGTTTCTCAGTAGTTAAGAGCACTTGCTGCTCTTCAAGAGGACACAGGTTCAATTGCCAGCATCCATGTAGCAGCTTATAACCATTTATGACTTCAGTCCCAAGGAATCCAATGCCCTCTTCTGGCCTCCACAGGCACTGCACACATAGGGTGAATAGACATTTGGGCAAACACATAAAATGAAAAGGTAGCTAGCCATATAAATAGTATTTGTATGTTATTTAGTAAGTAACTCAAAGATTTAAAATATATCTCTGTAGACCAATGCACATTTCCCAAGAGCTTTCTTTACAACTGAAACATTAATGACTTTCAAGTCACATGTATCAAATATTTAATAAGTATAATTATTACCTGATTATAGTGAGTTTCACAATAGGCCAAGCCCTTCCTCTCATAATGGCGATGTCCAAGAAATGGCTTTTCACATTTGGCACAAACAAAATGCTGTAAAACATTGAATAGATTAAAATAATCTGTATTTTGCTGTAAGATGCTGTAATTTGATTTATCTTAACTAAGAAACCTCAAATTAACCAATTCTTAGAAAAGATAGTAAGATTAAGATTAATAACCAGGCCGGGCAGTGGTGGCGCACGCCTTTAATCCCAGCACTCGGGAGGCAGAGGCAGGTGGATCTCTGTGAGTTCGAGGCCAGCCTGGTCTACAAAAGTGAGTTCCAGGACAGGCTCCAAAACAATACAGAGAAACCCTGTCTCAAAAAAAAAAAAAAAAAAAAGATTAATAACCAGATCATCCCCCCCACTCCGATGCCTTTGGTGATAACACCTCACTATGTAGATTTTATCTATGTAGCTCTGTCTGATATAAAACTTGCTGTGTAGACTAGGCTGTCCTGGAATTCACAGATATTCACCCGCATCTGCCTCTGCCTCTGCAATGCTGGGATTAAAGGGGTGCATACTCACCACACCTGGCAAGACCAGCTATTTTTATGATCTCAAGTCTGATGTCTATGAGGCTCTAATGGGTTACCTTAAGATGACTGCTCAGCAGTTGGGAGCACCTGTAGCTCTGGTTTAGGATATGGGTTTGGTTTCTAGCACCAGCATGGCAACTTATGACTAAAACTAACTACAGTTCCGGGAGACATGATGGCCTTGTCTGACCTTCACAGGTACCAGGTACCACATGCAGGCAAAAATACTCACACACAATAAAATCATCTTAAAAAAATACAAACTATTAAATAAGACATATGAAAGGAGATGGGCATCCCAGTATATTTGTAACTGAGAATAACTAATTGTTGTTGGATGTGACACTCCTGTCCTCAAGAAAGATTTAAGAACAAAGCACACATGCTGCATTATGCTGTCATGTTACAACATTCTAGGTTTTATTATTTACTATTAAGTTGTAATGGTTAGTATTTTTGTTAACTTGACACAAACTAGTTCCTAACTCTAGTTGCCTCCACCAGACTGGCCTGTGGACAAGTCTGTGGGGTATTTTCTTGTTTGCTAATTGACGTGGGAAGGCCAACCCCGGGCAGGTGAGCCTGGACTGTGTAAGAAAGGTGGCTAGCTGACAAGGGGCCTGAAGTAAGCCAATAAGCAGCATTTCTCTTTGTTTTCAGCTCCAGTTCCTGCATCCAGGTGTCTAACTCAAGTTCCTGACATGGCTTCACTTCTCGCACAACAATAAACCCTTTCTTCCACCCAAGTTGCTTTTGGCCAGTTGTTGTTGTCTGTTGTGTTTTACAGACAGGGTCTCTCCATGTAGTTCTGGTTGTCCTGGAACTCATAGAGACCATCCTGGTTCTGCCTCCCAAGTGCTGAGATTAAGGGAGTGTACCAACACACACAGCTTGGTCTGCTTTTTTTTTTTTTTTTTGTAAATCACAGTGATAGAGAAACAAATTAAGACAAAAGTCAACTTTTTTTTTTTTTTTTTACTGCTAACATTTAGTCATTAAACTGTTCTTATCTTGCTAGCATTCTTGGGGCATAGAAACAAGGTACTGGCTATCTTTGGCCAGGCTGTACTTACCTCCACGTGCCATTGCTTGCCCATGGCATTCACTACTCGCCCTTCAATGGGCCTCCGACAGGCACCACAGATAGGGACCCCCATCTTATCATGACACGGCAGACAGTACAGCTCCCCTTTCAGCTCCCGGGCATCAGCAGTTAGCTCCTTCCTGTCCACCAAAGACATTCAACTGAATACTATTGTACAGCTGAACAGGTATCCAACAGAGGCAGCAGAATTTTTTACAAGATTTTAAAAGATACAATCAAAACAATCCTTGACAATCCCTGATAACTTCTATTTTCCCTTCATTAAAGGTGATCTCAAGAGCCAGGTGTTGGTGGTGCATGCCTTTAATCCCAGCACTCGGGAGGCAGAGGCAGGCGGATCTCTGTGAGTTCGAGGCCAGCCTGGTCTACAGAGCGAGTTCCAGGACAGCCTCCAAAACAATACAGAGAAACCCTGTCTCGAAAAACCAAAAAAAAAAAAAAAAGAGAGAGAGAGAGAGACTAGCCGGGCTTTCAGGTTGTTACCAGCATCTTGTATTAATGGTGAGACACAGAAGAGGTAACACGTGCCACTCAGTCCTGTTTATCACTGCTGTCCTATAGTAACTATTACATTTCAGTCCATTTGTCTTCCTTAAAACTCAGAGTGCTGAGTCCAGGAACAGTAGTCCACATTTGTAATCCCATCACTTGGGAGAGTGAGGAAGGAGGAGTGTGAACTTTTAGACTGAAGATAGAAATAACACTATCTGAAAAAGGAGGTCTAATATATTTATTAAATATACTTAAAAGATAAACAGAAGGATAGGAGCTCTGGGAACGTGGCTGGCTTCCAAGAGAGAGGGCTTTTGCTTTTGCTTTCCCTTTCCCTTATACCCTCACCTATCCCCCGTACCCCTTTGGGGCATGGCCAGTATTGTGGGCTCACCCCTACAGTAGACAGCCTAGGACACACAGTTGCGTATTATTATAAAAATAAACATTATATTGACTGAGAGGCACAATAGGTCCCACCATTAGTTTAGGGGCTCTTGGTAGTTAATAGCTGCTGGCAAAGGGGAATTATTGTCTTCAGGGGTGTAGCCACTGGTAAGGTGTCCACAATCTAAGAAATAACTCCACATCATGTACTGCAAGCAACCCTAATTAAACTCAGTGGACTATAAAAACAACAAGGACAAGAGAGGAGAGTGGGGGTGGTTTTCATCAAAACATGTTATATATACATATGAAATTATCAAAGGATTAAATAAACTATTAAGACAAAAAACAATAAAAAAATAAATTATACAGCTAGACAGTGAACCATTTCCAACAGAGGTTACCATGGTTGAGCCAGTAGTATAAGCATGCCTATGGTGAGTATGAGAAGGCAGAGACCGTTAGTCTCTGTAAACAAATCTCTCAATCAAGAACTCAAACATGAGAGCTTCAGAGAAGGCTCAGTGGTTAAGAGTACTGGTTGCAGAGGACCTGGGTTTAATCCCAGCATTCACATGGTTGATGGCAACCATTTTTTTTTCCCAAGACAGGGTTTCTCAGTAGCTATGGAGCCAGTTCTGGAACTCACTCTGTAGACCAGGCTGGCCTTGAACTCACAGAGATCTGCCTGCCTCTGCCTCCCAAGTGCTAGGATTAAAGACATGTGCCACCACTGCCTGGCAACAACCATTTTTAATCCTAGTTCTAGAGGATCTACTTCCCCCTCCTGACTTCCATGGGCACCAGGCGTACATGTAGTGCATATACTTCATGCAAACAAAACACCAATACTGAAAAAAAAAACCAACTCAAGAACAACTGTTTCAGCAGTCAACTAATTTCTGCTGGGTATTGTAAGTGCCTAATTTGATGATGCTACTTCCACCCGCTCTCTCAATTAGGCTACTCTAGTAATTTCTGCTGGATGCTTTAAGTACCTATTTGGTGATAATATGCTGTCTGTGCTTCTTATAAGTTGTCTGCTAATTGTTCTTTTACTTTGCTTCCTACCTACTTAATAAACTCACTCATTCTACACTGAATAACCAGCTGTCACAGATCATAATCTGTGGAGAAGAGCCATTATATAATGCTATTGGTCCTTCTATGGGTCTAACACTAAAAGTTGGAAAATTGAGGGTTTAACTCCAGGAAGACCATTTGCTTAGCACATACAACACCACAGGGACACACACACACACACACACACACACACACACACACACACACACACCCCAAATAAAAAAATAAAACAAAAGCTTGAAGAAAGCAAGTGAAGCTGTCTGTTGCAATAACAGAAATACAATAACTTTGCTCCTTCACTTTAAGTCTACTGTTTCTCACAATGTCAGGAAAAACAGTGTAGTACCCGCAGTTGGCACAGTTGAAGTGGTCAGGGTGATAAGGGTCATTCTTGAAGATCAGAGGTTGTTCATCAATGATGGCATGGCATTTCTGGCAGATGTATTTTCCAAGGCCTCTGGCCTTTTCACGATTATGACATGGACGACACAGGTGTCTATACAGGGCCAAAATGGAAATTTAAAATCTTAAGTTCTTTTTTAATAATTAGAAATAAAATTCTCATATCTCTGAACAGAGATGAAAGAAACCATTTTTCAAAAAACTATCTCTGTGCTTAGTAAACCAGACTCAAAGTGCAGGAAAATTTTGTTCCACTAATAGCCCACAGATGTACATGGACTTCATCACTGCCCACATCTCGCTGGCAGAGCAGGAGGCATGCAGTAACATACTCCGTGACAAAGCTCTGGGGTCATTTTCCAGGGTACTAAGCAAGCCAGTGCACGGTTAGTTCTGTGTTCTCATATCCCAGAGCAGTACCTCAGAATCCATAGGGAAAATGTGTGAGACTTGAACAATCCCTTTGGCCACCCACATCCAACAAAGATGGCAAAGTCCTACCTGCCAGCATTCTTGACAAACCCTATGTCTGCCAGCACTTCCTGGCAGAGGTCACATCGAAAGCACTCAGGATGCCAGCTGTTGTTCATGGCTTTAATAACCCGACCAATGATGAATTCACCTATGGGGAAAGAAAGCATAGAGAATGTGAAGAGCGGTCTTATTTGCTATAAATCAAAGGGGCAAGTGTTTAAGGAGGGCTTACTAGGGACTGACTAGTGCTCCTCAAATGCTAAGCCACTGCCTTACCAGAGTTACATCATGTCTCCAGCCCTCTGAATATTTCTTTTTAATTTGTGACACAAACCTCAAGTAAGTTGTTCAGGTTGCCCTTAATTGAGATCTCCTGCCTCAGCCTTCCATGTATCTGGGATTACAGGTCTCTATCACCAGCCTAACTTTTTTTTAAAGATTTTTTAATTTAATATATTTATTACTTACATCTGAGTCCTCACTTCTATTCGTAGTCACATATTAAAGCAGTTTTTACCATCTCTCTGAATCTGGCTTTCCTTTCCAAATGTCCTGAGCTTGACTAGTGCCTCTTGGTTGTTTACAGCCACTGTTTCACAGACAACTGAAACCTATAGCACTTTTCCTTTGATTCTCACTCCTATCGCAGTGAGGGGATCGAGCCAAAGGCCTTATGAATGCTAATACTAAGTGAGTGTAATAACTTCAGTCTCTACAATGAATTTTTCATTTTTTATTCTTGCTTTTTTCAGACAGGGTCTCACTAAGGACCCCTGAGTGGCCTGAAACTTGTAGAGAGACTGGGCTGGCCTCAATTCAGAGATCCTCCTGCATCTGTTTTCAGAGTGCTGGGATCATGCCTGTCTGCCACATTTTTCTCATAATTCATATTGACTTCCTTCACTAATGACTGTCCTAGTTAGCGTTAACTGTCAGTCAACTTTGACACATCCTAGAGTCACCTGAGAATGGAGTCCCAATTGAGGAATTACCCAGACCAAATTGGTCTCCAGGCCTATCTGTAGGGAATGTCTTGATTGTTAATTATCTAGGAGGGCCCAGCTTACTATGGCTGCACCATTCCCTGGGAAGTGGTCCTGGACTGTGAATTATAGAACAGTAGCTGAGTAGCTGAGTTTAAGCCTGCTGGTAAGCCAGCAAGCTGTTTCTTCACAGTTTCTGCTTCAAGTTTCTGCCCTGACTTCCCTGGGTGATAGACTGTGACCTGGAAGTATAAGATGAAATAATTAAGCCCTTTACTCCCTTTAGTCGCTTTCAGTCAGAGTGTTTTGTCACAGCAACAGAGACAAACTACAACAGTGACTTATATGATTGTAAAACTTATTTTTTACCTATATTCAGCAGTAAAACTTACCACACTGGTGGCAGCAGGGAGCAAAGAGCATCTGGAAATCGTGCTCACAGTACTTCCTTCCCTCAAACTGAAAGAAAAGCACAAAGGTCATCAACTTACACATATGAAACAACAGAAGGAAAGAATTTCATGAAAAGACCAACAAAAGTGGTTTTTGCTGATGCTTTATGGTGTGTATGTGTAGCAAACACAAAGCCTTGTGAATGTTAGACAAGGGCTCTCTGCCAATCAACCACCCCAGTCCTTACCAAAGGAGGTTTTACTGTATTTTTTGGAGACAGGGTCTCATCACGTAGCCCTGGATGGCCTAGAACTTGTTATGTAGACTAGGTTGGCCTTGAACTCACAGAAACCTACCTGTCTCCACCTCCTAAGTGCTGGCACTAAAGGTATGCACAATATGCCTGGCTAATTTTGGGACCTTCCATATTCTTCTGTGTTGTTACAGAGAAAAATCTGACATTGGATGGTCTAACACCCACATAAAAGTTGGACATAGATGTGTGTGCTTGTAACCCTGGCCCCGGGGAGAGGAGGCATAGTGACAGGTTAAAAAAAAAAAAAAAAGCTCATTGCCCAGGCAGCCTAGCCTAACTGATGAACTTTAGGTTCAGTGAGAAACACTGTCTCAAAGTATAAAGTGGAGAATAATCAAAGAAAACAACCTCAACTTTCACATGAACAGGTACACATGTGCATTCACATGCACACACACACCACAAACAGAAACTTCACAGGGTGAAGACATGGTGAATAGCTGGCCTTACCTCTGACTGTGCTTAATTATTTTTGATGTACATACTCTAACTTTAAGGATTTAAAAAATATTTGCTTGTTTTTATTTTATGTGTGTTGGGTGTTTTGTCTGCATGCATGTCTATGTACCATGTGTGTCTGATGTCCATGAGGACCAGAGAGCATCAGATCTCCTGGAACTGGAATTATAGATGGTTGTTAGTCACCATGTGGGTATTTGGAACTGAATCTGGACCATCTGAACTAGAGCCCTTAAACACTGAGTCATCTCTCCAGTCTCATAATCTTTATGAATTTGATGAAGCTATAGACCCCTCAACCCAGATAATCTGCATACATGTAAAAACCTCTCCCCTCGTTATTTTAGGTCAGTATTTAAAATTTTTTCCTGTAAGCCTAATTATTTACAAGGGGTACATATTCTGACATAATTTTTAAAAATTATTTTTATTTATGTGTGTGATGTTTTATGTGAATGTATGTCTGTACCCTCTGCATGTCTGGTGTTCATGGAGGCAGAGGAGAGCATTGGATGTCCTGGAACCAGAAGTTACAGACAGTTGTGAGCTATCATGTTGATTGTGGACATCAAACCTGGGTCCTCCAGATGAGCAGTCAGTACTCTTAACCACTAAATTATCTCTTTAGCTCCTTAATTATTTTTTGAGATGGGGTCAATATATAGTCCTAGCTGGCATGGAACTTTATGCAGACCAGGCTGACCTTGCACTCACAAAGGTCCACCTGCCTCTGCCTCCTAAGTGCTGGGATTAAAGGCCTGCAACACCATGCCTGGCCTTAATATCAATATTTTTAAGTGACCAGTAAAGATTTAGAATGCATGCCCTTTCCTCCCAAATATCAAATATTTTAATATTTTTCAAGGACCCATGCCAAATATAGCTTACCAGAACTCAGGGTATAACGTTTTCATATATATATATGTATATAATTTTAATTATATTATAATTTTTAAGAGAACTAAATTGTGAGAAGTAGAACGTCACAGGAGTTAAGAATACTGACTATTTAATCCCAGCATTCAGTAGGCAAAGGCAGGTGGATCTCTGTGAGTTCGAGGCCAGCCTGGTCTACAGAGCAAGTTCCAGGACAACCTCCAAACTAATATAGAGAAACCCTGCCTGGAAAAAACAAAAACAACAACAACAACTAAAAACCCAAAACCAAAAACAATAACAACAACAAAAAAACACTGACTACAGTTCACAACTTCTTATTTGAAGAAACAACTCATATTATTAATCTATATAGAGTAATCCAAACTCTACTCATTCTCTTATTTTAAAATTTTATTTGTATGTGTGTGTGCGTACGTGAGCAGATGCCCACAGAAGCAAGAAGAGGGCATTGGAACTGGACTTAGATGCAGTTGTAAACCCAAGTTACATGGGTCCTGGGACCCAAGCCCAGGTCTTCTGTAAGAACAGTAAATTCTCTTAACACTGGACCCTCTTCGAACTCTTTCTTAATAAGATAATAAGATACTTGAAACATACTGCAAAGAAGTGGATATGAATTCATTGAATTATAACATTCTGGAAAGATAACCATGTTTATAGCTTAAAAAGAACTATCTTTTTATTTAAAATGTATATGCGTCTGAGGAAGAACGTATTATACATGTGTGAGTACATGTATGGCAGTTGTGAATTGCCTCATGTGGGTGCTGAGAGCCAAACCCAGCTGTTCTTAACAACTGAGCCATCTCTCCAGTCTGCTCAGAACTTCTTGCCAATGCTCAGCACTGGCCTCACAGGGACCCCGCCCCTGCCCGCTGTGTGTGTGTGGAGGGGAGAGGGGGGCCTATCTTTCTCATCTTCCCATACATGTGCAGTACTGCATCTGTTTTGTTTTTTGTTTTTTGTTTTTTTTTTTTAAGGCAATACTAGGCTCTTTACTCAACAGCAGCCTGGAGTCGATGTGCTTGATTCTCTGAGGGCAGGCTTTCCTCTCATTCTGTTTCACATCTCCTGCATTTGGGTCCTTTGTAGGACACAGCTTGAAGTAAGAAAGAGCACCCACCTAAACTGACTTGTACATAACTTCTGAGGGAAGAGTTTGGAGGCAGAGTTACATAGGACACTTATAAAAGTATGACAGCAGAAGCTGGCTGTAGCCCACAAATATTTAGAATGTGTGTGCTGACAGCTGTGTCAGGAACAGGGCACAGATGTCCACTTGGTTGGTCTGGTGCTTCAGAACAATCTAGTCAGTCAGCAACCTGGAATGGTGCTTAGCAGAAACTTGAGAAGAAAAAACTCCTCCACTGTTTGAACTGCAGCATGGTCTTCTCCATCCAGGTTACCTGTGTGCAATGACAGCTGGCTCTACACTGGGTGGTACAATATGGAGCCTGTGTTTTCTCATAGGTCACCAGTTTGTCCCCCTTGCCCACAAAGACTAGTACAGCTCAGTTCTTGGTGCAGATCTGGCCCAAGGAGATGCCAGGCATCTCCCAGATGTTGGTGGGCCGTGCAGCCATCTTGGGTCAGAAACGTTCAGGGCATGCCAGAATCTAGCTTTTGTGTGAGTTCTGAGGATCTGAAATTAGACTGTGAGGCTGGCAAAGCAAGTGCTTTGCCCAGAGAGTCATCTTTTCAGGTCCTTCACAGGAACTCCTCTTTTACAAAAGGATGCCGGTGGCATTTATCAGAGGTGCACAAGGCAAAACCTTAAAAGGAATGATGTCACAATTACTCTCTGCAACTCCAAACTCACAACCAGAATACAGAATACCCAACATGGTTCCCCAAGCCAAGCTTCATCCTAAATGAGAAAAAACACAGGGCAAGAGAAGTTGGGAGGCTTCAAAGGCTAAATGATTCTGCTTGAGAGGTGTCCTGAAGCAAGTCACTCTAACAGGAATTGGGATTCTTTTCTTTCATAAAGTGGGAGAAGCAAGTGCTAGTGTGCATACAAATATATTAGCAGTCAAATCAGAAAGGACTCAGAAGAGGCAGAGCTCTTTGAATTTGAGACCAGCAGAGCTATTCCACAGTGAGATCCCATCTCAAAATCAAACCCAAACAAAAAAACAAAGCACACACACAAAAAAAAAATCACAAAAAGCTTCTCCCTCCAAAGCAAAAAACAAACAACACCAATAAAACAAAAAGCAAACAAACAAAACCAAGTAAAAAACCAAAAACTTCCTTAGCAAACAGCTCGAGGATTAAGGAACAGATTCCATTGCAATCATTCCCATCTCAGATCCTGTGCCCCTCTGTGATTTAAGCTCTAGCATTAGGACTATCATTACTATTCCAAGAGCTTTCTGCTATAATGAACTGCCTCTTTTGCATATGCTGTAGAGATCATGAAGCATAAAATGTCTCAATTAAGAGCTTGGGAATCCAGATGTTGATTCAAAGTAAAAGATACAAAATGAAGGAAAAAAACCAAAAAAACAAAAACCAACAACAGCAACAATCCAGAAACCATTAATTTGGAAGAATCAAATTTCCAGGAATACTATCGTAAACTACACTAAAACCCCAGATCAATTTAAAACAAGAAATACACTGACTGCATTAGTTACTTTCTGTTGCTGTGGTGAAACTCTGACCAAAAGCAATTAAGGAAGAAAGGGTTAGTTATTTTGGCTTCCAGTTCCAGAAGGATAGAATTCAACATAGCAGGGAAAGCGTGACCTAGTGGCAGGAGCAGGAAGCTGGCTGATCACATTTTTATTCACACACAGAAAACAGAGAGAGGGAGCAGGAAGTGGGGTGAGGTGACAAATCCTCAAAGCCCACTCCCAGTGATACACTTCCTCCACAAGGCTCCACAGCCTCTCCACACAGTATCATCAACAGGGAACCAAATATTCAAATAAAGGAGGCCACAGGGGATGTTTCTCATTGACACCACCACAAATACAATAAGCATGTAAGAAATACTATGTTCCAAATTAGAATTGTTTAGCAAATGCCTAAGAATTCTGGGTCCTAATCCCAGTACTCCGGAGGCAGAGGCAGGTGGATCTCTGTGAGTTCGAGGCCAGGCTGGACCAACAGCCTCCAAAACAATACAGATAAACCCTGTCTTGTAAAATCAAAAAAAAAAAAAAAAAAAAAGAATTCTGGGTCCTTCTACCCATGGCGACAGATTATTTGGTGGGGGAGATGATGAACTCCAGCAGCAACAGCTCTGCTTCTTTCTGTACTAAGTTTCTCGAGTTCTGTGAAGATTCCTATCAGAGGCAGGGGAGGGCTGCTGCTGCTTTAAAGCCGAGAATTGGAAACTTAGCTGATGGCCTTATTTCAGGAATGTGCAGATGCTGGCCGTTCACCTAGTGATTTATTCACTGGCCATGAATTGCTCTGAAACAAGTGGGTCAGTAGATAAGCAGAGAGGCTGGCTTAAGAGTTTCCCCTCTTCAGTCTTCACTTCTCATTCCCGGCCTTCCTGAATAATCAGGATACAGTATTAAAGGAAATGAGTAAGGGAACTCTTTGTTAATCATTGTTCCATTACAGCATTCATTACCAACAGGCCTTTCCTGTTAATACAGTCTGTGATGGGGAGAAAGGCACACACTGGGAAAACCAAACAAGGAGAGAGGAAAGTCTGAAGCCTTAAACAGAACTGGCTCTGGATTTGTAGCATTCAAGGTCCCTACCTAGGCCCTGGTTCTTGGTTCAGTCTATGCCAGTTTGAATTGTATCCCTCTGTAACTGTTTAGCTCACTTCTAAAATACTTCAAAGAAAAAAAAAATACTCCTTTTAGTGGAGATAACCAAGGTATCACAAATCTATACTTAAGAACCATTAATTGCTGGTGTTTGGGCCTGTTTAAATGGGTATTACCTCCAGAAAACAGCATTTAATCAGTCTAAGCCACCACTGAATTGGTAGATTTATAAAATAATAGTTCATATGCATTACAGGACTGCACATACTGAGATCTGATGGAAAACTAGCAGTGATTCCTCTTTTCATTTATTTCTTTATTTACTTATTTGCTTATTGGTTTTTTGAGACAGGGTTTCTCTGTGTAGCTTTGGAGCCTACAGAGCACTTGCTCTGTAGACCAGGTTGGCCTTGAACAAACAGAGATCCGCCTGCCTCTGCCTCCCCAGTGCTGGAATAAAGGTGTGTGCCACCACCACCGGCCCAGCTTTGAGCTCTTGATCCTTTTGTTTCCAAGTGCTGGGATTTTGTGTTAGAGGTAGCAGATCAATGAGGGCAATTTGTGCCAGAGGTATTCAAAGTTGAATGGGAAGACGAGGGTAGTAATAAACAGCCATACTGAGATGAAACAGTGTTCCATGTTAAAGATGGATAAAGTGCCCTGTGGACTCAAAAAAGATGTGGAATGAAACAGAGGGCACTGGGCTGGGAAACAGCAGTAATGACGTCTTATAATAAATCTTCCAGGCAAACACCTCGGGTACATCAGCTCTTTTTGATGAACAAAGCTGCAAAGCACCTTATTTTATTAGGGGATACATTTCTGCCTAAATGGAGAAATTTAGGTTCATGTTTTATTTATTTTTAATTTATTTATTATGTATACAGTGTTCTAATGTATGTCTGCAGGCCAGAAGAGAGCACCAGATCTCATTACAGATGGTTGTGAGCCACATGTGGTTGCTGGGAATTGAACTCAGGACCTCTAGAAGACTAGTTCATGTTCTTATAGGTTCATGTTTTAAATATGAACCTAATGGGTCACTGTATGAGTGGGACCACATCTAGATAGTATTCCTAGTGGCTGCTATGTCACTATTTTGTTGTTCTATTTTTCTTGAGACAAAAGTTTTACACTTTTAAAATGTTTATTTATGCTGGGTAAATGTGGTGCATGCCTTTAATCCCAGCACTTGGGAGGGAGAAGCAGGTGGATCTCTGTGAGTTCGAGGCTAGCCTGGTCTACAGAGAGGAGTTCCAGGACAGCGAGAGCTGCAATAAAGAGAAACCCTGTCTCAAAAAAACAAAACAAAAATGTTTATTCTTCTGTTACAGGTGTTTTGCCTGAATGTATGTTTAGTCACCACATGTGTTCTCGGTGCTCAAAATGATCAAAAGAGGGCATAAAGTCCCATGGCACTGGAACTATAGATGGTTGTGAGCCGCCATGTGGGTGTTGGGAATTCCTGATACTCCCGACTCTCTCAAGTGCTGGAATTATAAGTGTACATAATCATATCCAGCTATACCATGCTTAAGAGAAGTACAGATGCACCAGAAATGCTTGTGCTTTAGTGAATGGGCAGTAAACAGGAGTCTGGTTCAGACTTGCCTTTGTGGTCAGAGGGATGACTATCCTAGTCATCTAACCCAATGCACCAGAAAGTTCTACAGAGAAAAGTCAATCATGTTTTGAAGTAACTAAAACCTCTCTCTTTCTGATTCTCTCTCTCTCACTCCCCCCTCTTCCAGGTCTTACAGAGGCAGAACTTGAAATTTCCTGCCTCAGCCACCCAAATGATGGGATCACAGGAGTGCAACACCATACGGTTCATACTCGGTTATCTGTAAGTCTTCATAGCTAGTGTCCAAGGGAAAAGAAAGAGTAAGGACTGTAGAAATAAGGGTTGCTTTGGACTGAGAAGATACCCTCTCCTGACTGTATCTTCTGAAGTGCTGGGATTGAACCTAGGGTTTTCTGAATGCTAAGAAAGCACACACTCTATCTCCAACCCACATGTCCTGCCCTGCATATTTCATTATACAAACATTCTTAGATGGGCAGAGCCTTTTCTCTGTCATTTAACCAAAAGTAAAGTTCTTATTTTCCACCTGCAGGCTTACAAATCCCTGGCTATTAAAAGGAATTTAAGCACTAAACATTGTAGCTAAAATAGCTGTCTTCCTTAGGACCCAGAGGCAACAGCCCAATATAGGCCAACTCTGGGATTAACAACATCTTTTGGAATATTAGGGAGGCTATTTATAGCCCAGAAGTGAGGAGCAGTGAGGAGTGGACAGAAGGACAAGTGTGAGTCATGTTTTATTCTGCTCCACTGAAGGCTGTTTCCAAGCTTTCCCTCTGACCAAACATAGGCGGCTCTGCAGCTAATAGGACCACATGTACAAGCAGGTGCAAGACAGTGCCCAATAATGCCCAAACGGCAGGCCCAAGAACAGCACTAGAGAAAGGCATTAAGAGGGACTGTGCTCCATGATGCTCTCAGAGGGCAGATCAGGCAGAAGACAAAGTTCTGGGCAGAACAGAACTGACCTCTCCCTCTGAGTTTCTGACTCTTTCCTAAATTGCTTGTTCAGTAAGATTTTCTTAATCTTAAGAAGACTGTATGGATACTAGGGCAGAAACAGGTTCTAATACTTGTCACACAGCAAACTGCTACCTGCTGTGTTGTCATGTTTTCACCTTTCAGGGCCACAAAAGAAAAGGAAGGTAGTGATTACAGGGGACTTAATACAGTCTGAATACCAGTGCTCCCTCTTTTTTTGCTTTTTGGTGTGTATGTATCTAGACATACTCATTTGTCTGTGTGCAGTAACGTGTGTGTGGTTTGTATGATCATATGGATGCCAGAGATTGATATCTAGTGTCTTCAGTGGTTGTCCACCCTATTTTTGGAGACAGACACTCCATCAATCTTAACCTCACAGATTTCAGCTAGAGCCTAGGCAGCAAGTCCCAGGTGGGTCTTCCTGTGCCTGCCTCCTTAGCTATGATATTATAGGCATATGCCACTACTCCAGGTTTTTTACATAAGTGCTAGAGATCCAAACTCAGTTCCGCATGCTTGCATGGCAGGCACTTTACTAAGTCCCCCCCATATTTCTGGAACTTCTTTGTATGCTGTGGGACTCTGCCAAAGGTGCCTATGATGACATATTGCTTTGGCATCCACTGTGAATAGAAGCTATGCTTTCTCATACCAGAGGTAGTATTCAGTTCCCCTGTTTCCAGTTCTGTGCCTCCCAGCTCCACAGTGTGATCAATCCAGATGTCTGTCATACATCACTGTCCCTGACAACCTCCTACTTGTGGTCAGCTAGATACAGCCTGTGTGGCTGGGCTGACTCCCACACCCAGTATGAATTATACAGGTCCAGATGTCACAGCACAGCCACCTGAGACTTGTACCTGCTTGCTTTATACCTACTAGTGACAACTCTTCACAGGAGACCTATTTGTATGCTGATACCCAATGGAGCTTTGGCCCAGGGATCCAGTCTCTACCCCACCTATACTTTCCTAACCAATGTGTACTGACTTCTAGGCATGAGTAATAAAAGTTTCATATTTACCTCATGTCTTCCCTAATTCATCATAAAGCTCTTTAAAATCACAACAGTATTATCTGGCTGAGTTTGTGATTTCAGAGTCTTTTGTCAGCTTCTGAGCAGAGTTTTCTTTTTCATTTGGGGGGGGGTTTGAGGCAGAGTTTCTCTGTGGTTTTGGAGGCTGTCCTAGAACTGCTCTTATAGACCAGGCTGGTCTCGAACTCACAGAGATCCCCCTGCCTCTGCCTCCGGAGTGTTGGGATTAAAGGTGTGCGCCATCACCACCAGACGAGCATAGTTTTCTAAACTGAATGACAGCAGTTCTAACAGCAGTTCTCCCTCCCATGCTGTTACAGACCCTAGGGGCCCAACTTGTACTTCTTTGTACCAGTCACAGCCATTCAGACTCAGTAGAGTGTCTGGCCCACCAACACCATCTGTGTACCCTGGGAACTCCCTCCATCTTCTCTTCTCCTGCAGTTGGACTCTGCTCTTCCATGATGTCACTTCACATTCCCAAGACCATCATTCCTGACACAAAGATTCCCAGAGGAAGAAAAGAGTATCTCCCTACTGCTAAGGCTTGTTTGTTTGTTTGCTTGTTTTCCTGAGACGTAGTGGGAACTCAAGAGTAATATGTGTACCAAAGAATAAAATTTTATTCTGTGACTATATGTTCAATGCTATTTCCTCGAGTTACATTAATACAGACAATTCATAAATGGAAGTTTGGTTTTTTAAGCATGTGTGAGAGACAGATGTTTTCCAGGTTGGCCTGCGAATTTCATTCCCCAGAGGAGTGGGATTTGTCTCAGTGTAGTAATGACCATTATAAACTACCTTTCCTTCCTCAATCATGGAGACAGGAAAATCTAAGTCTGGTAGGAGAAAAGGAAGAGAAAACAAATCAAAGGGGCTGGAGAGATGGCTCAGCAGTTAAGAGCACTGGCTGCTCTTGCAGATGACCTGGGTTCAATTCCTGTAACTACACAACAGCACACACATTCTTTAAATAAAGGTCCAATGGATCTCACAACCTCTTCTGGTTTTCAAGGGTATGAGGTATGCATACAGTAAATAGACATATATGCATATATGCAGGCAAAACACATATGCACATAAAATAATAATAATTAAAAAAGAAATCAAAGAGCATACATTTTTAGCTGTATCATAATTCTATACACATATATTATCATAAAAATACATATTTGCAAATATGCTAAGTGGTGTGGTAGCAAAAAAAATTGTCAAAGTTGTCATTCTCATTTTCACTCATGACATTGGGGGGAGGAAGAGGGGGTTGTTAGCCTCCCTAGGCCATCGCACAGTGCATGCTTACTGTGATAAAATGGTGGAAGTACAGACCAGTTGATGACATTAAGAAAAACAAGAATTTAGAAATATCTCAAGGCACTCAGTGTGGTTCCTGCAATGTTCAATTCCAAACAAGATCCTCTTTAGAAAATGCATTAAAATCTCCAGAGTGTGGCTTGGAGATCAGGAAGTGGGTGACACAGGTTCCCTTTCAGGAGGGTGTCCAATGATACCCTGATAAAGGAAGACACAGGATAGGGATGGGAAGATTCCACGCGGGGGCAAGCACTGAGGGAGGCCAGGGGTGCTTCTGCTGTAGCCGTGTAGAAGGGTTCTGTGCTTGGTCTGACAGACGGTCACAAGATACTGCAGACTCTGGGATAAGATGAACTGGTGGGCATGAGTAGGGAGGTAATGCACAAGCACTTAAAATGCACTGCATCACTGACCCCCACTAAATACTGGCACTTTAATTCAGTCTTTGGTAATGACTTTGAAAGAGAAGACAGCTCAGTTGACCCACCTCATAGAAGAGTCCTTCTGGGAACTGCTGGAAGCACTGGGCACACACAAAGCACTGTTCATGGTACAGCTCACCATTACTGTTCACAATCTTCTCGGCAGGTGCGAAGCCCCCCTTGCAGCGCTCACATGTAGCGCTGGCCAAGGCATTGGCCATATTGCTAAAACATGCAAAGGACAAGATACAGATTGTTAGCTTGTAATTAGGTTTAAGACCAGATGACATCAAGAACTGAGTAGCAAATTCTATCTGGATATAAAAAGTCATTTTTATCCATAAAACCAGGTTTTACAAATACTGTAACTTAAAATGCCCCATCGCATTAACAAAGCCCTTGGGTTTCTGAGAGGGTCTCCTGCTTTGCTTCTGCTTGACTTTAACCGTTTTAGCATTTCTGTAAGCAGTTTAGATAGTAAGAACACAAATCCAAGTCAAGAGTTTCCTTATCTGATGCAGTGGGATACACCTTTAGTTCCAGCCTTTAAGGAGGCAGAGGCAAAATAAAATGGTTGCTTGAACCCACAAGTTCAAGAACAACCTATGTCATAGAGCCACAGTGAGACTCTGTCTCAAATAAATAATCCATGAATAAATGCTTCCCTCAAGGATTAAGGTTTATAACTGGATAAGTAACTTTAATTAAAATATCCATGATAATGTCTTTTTTTTTAATGTCCTTTGCTGTGAATACAATATTTAGATCATACTGCTCCCCACATCCAGCTCCCCTGGACTCTCCATTCCATATTACCCTCCCAACTTCATGACTCCTCCTCCTCGTCTCCACATAACATACTGAGTCCAATTAGTGCTGCCAAGAGTGCACGAACGTAGGGCACCAACCACTGGAGCATGGGCAACCTGCAGTGAGCCACACTGCAAAAGAAAACTGATTCTCCCTCCCCTAGGCACTATCAATTGCCAACAGCTTCTTAGCGATGGATGGGCCTCATAAGCTCCTTCCCTCTGTGAAATAACTTCTTAAAGTCAATTTCTTTCCTTTTTAAGAACAAAAATCTAAACTTCATGTAACTGAATATCATATTGTAACCTGAATTTAGATGATACTTTTGATTGGATCCTGTTGAAAGCAACTGCTGAAAACCTCTGAAAACTAGACAAGTTGCCTCAGTCCTATTAAACAGTACATAAGAAAACACTGAATACTAGCAGTATAAAATATATATTAAAATCACAGAATTTGTCGGGCGGTGGTGGCACATGCCTTAAACGCCTTTAATCTCAGCACTTGGGAGGCAGAGGCAGGTGGATCTCTATGAGTTCAAGACCAGCCTGGTCTACAAGAGCTAGTTCCAGGACAGCCTCCAAAGCCATAGAGAAATCCTGTCTCAAAAAAAAAAAAAGTCACAGAATTTTATGTAATAAAGATCACTTTCCAGATAGAGGGATAGATTCAGAGGTGGACGAGGAGTTCAACACCCCTGAACTAGCTTCTTAGATAATGAGTGACACAGGAGTAGAATCCAGGCTCTCTGCTTACAGGGAATCATATCCATCACAGAGATCAGATCCTTATTGCAAACTCTGTAGAGTTCATGGTAGGGAAGCAATCATGTTTTGCAGGTCAGGAAAATGAAGCCAGGCAGTAGCTAGCATAGAGTGACTCTGACAGTTCCCTCGTGAGCAATTCCACTACACCTCAAAACACAGGATGTAATCAGATGAAAGGCAATATGACTGAGGCCAAGAATAGGTGACAATTTCACATAAATACTATTTTGTTTCTGAAAGTTCTAGAAATAGAGAAGGTTCCCTATGCTGAACAGTCACTAGCCCGGTTATTCTACATACTTTTACAATTGCTTTTTTGTTTGTTTTGCCTTGTTTTTTGTTTTCATGGGCCTCTACCACAAGCAAGTCTGCTCCACTGGCAGAGCTTCTGACCTTTGAAGACATTTCTTCAGTCTACACTACCAATGCCAGGAGACAGACGGTGTGGAGAGCCTCTAACTTCACAGACACTTTAACCAGCTGCCTTGCTCCTACGTCTTTCCAAGTTTGGCTGTTTCCATAGCAAAAGTGGCAGTAGTTATTCTCCACCTCACCCCAATGGCAGACAATTCTACACTTGTCTTTGCCCCTCAAATGTTCAAGGCAATTCTATTATGAAGCCTGCCATAAGAAACTCTATGTTGAATTCCCACATTCATCATTTCAGATCAATCAAAATTCAGTTTTAATTAGTAAGCTAAATGTAAAATAGGAACGCTACTGGGGAGGAGGGGGCAGTGAGATGGCATAGCAAGTAATACTGCTTGCTGTCAAGCCTGAGGATTTGAGTGGAAGAACAAAACTGACTCCAGCAAGTTATCTTTGACCTCCACATGTGTACCCACCCCACAAAAAAAGCACTTTAAAAGGGAATGGAGGGAGCCTCACTGTTGGGTAGACCTGGCCTAAGCACTGTGTAAACAAGACTTCCATTTTGTCATCTCAGAATTAATGTGACATGAGAAGATCCCCAGATCAACGGGACAGTTTGAATGAAGTTCTGGAGAGATTTGTGCACCCTCTTTTCTTACAGAAAGAGTGGCTGAATAGGGAAGGACACTAAACCCACACCTGCTCAAGAATTTTCAGAAGCTATTCGAGGATGAAATAATAACAAGATGAATCACTCTGGAAAGCAGAAGCTGGTACTAAAAGACATGGTATCATTCTCATTCTAAATTGTCTCAAGGACATCCCAAACTCAGCAGGGTTTCTCTGAGTAACCACCCTGGCTATCCTTGAACTCTCTTCTTTGTCTGTAGACCAGACTGGCCTCAAACTCAGAGGGATCAAAGGCATGCACCACAACCACCAGGCTAGACCTCAGTAATTTTAATGGACTTCCCAAAAAGCTGGAGAACATTCTGGAATGTCCGGATTCACTACCACTTAACTCAGTGACTCTCAAGATATGGAAATTCTGAAGCGCCCTCTCTCAGCCACATCTCTTGCAGAAGCAGACTGTAAGAAAGGGGCTTGCATCAAGAAAAACATCAACAAAATGTACAAAAAGGTAAAGCAACAACCTTCTTTACTCTATATTATCAACATGTAATGAGTTACTTTTCACTGAATTAATAAATACAATTTCTCATACAAGTACTGGGTTTCAATCCCTTTTTGTTTTTGTTTTTTTCAAGATAGGGTTTATCTGTGTAGCTCTGGCTGTCTTGGAACTTTCTCTGGGACCAGGCTGGCCCTGAGCTCACAAGAGATCCACCTGCCTCTGCCTCCCAACTGTTGGGATTAAAGACATGCTGCTGCCCCCACAATCAACCCCCAGCTCCTTTTTGTGGTAGTGCTGGAATAAAAAAAATGCTGTTTATCACTGACTTATTCATATCCACTACATTCCAGACTTTGTGTCTGAATACTCAAGTAGAACTGAGTAAAATGGGTAGAGAGATTAATATATATTGTAATTCTCTCTCTCCCTCCTCTCCTCTCCTCCCTCTCTCTCTCTCTCTCTCCCTCCCTCCCTCCCTCCCTCCCTCTCTCTCTCTCTCTCTCTCTCTCTCTCTCTCTCTCTCTCTCTCTCTCTCTCTCTCTCGTAACAAAGGAGGAACAAGACACAGCAATCACTTGCCTCCTGACTGACCTCATGTTTCCCTTTCCTCTATCTTCTTGTTCGTTGGGTGGTTGATTTTCTTTTCTTTTTTTGAGACAGGGTCTTATGTAGCCCGGGCTGGTCTCAAATTCCTGGCCCTTCATACCTCCCAAGTGTTAGGATTGCATGCCCAGCTCCTCTCTTTCCTAACTCTCCAGTACTGTTCACATTTTTTATAGCTGACAATATTTAATACAACATATGATAGAAGTTATTTTTAAGTGACAAGTCATTAGATTGGTTATACATAAATGCTTGATTTTCCAGAAACTATTTTTCAGTAAAAAGTGTTGAGGATAAAGAAACTATGGAAGTGAGGAGAATGTATGCCTATGGAAGCCTTTAATAAGAAAGTGTCCAACTGGCTAGTAGGGACTGAGGTTGTGGACCTACATCTACAGTTTGGCTGCTCAGGAAACTACAATCAAGCTTTCCAATTTCTCACATCTTAATAGTCATTACACATGAAACAAATTTTCTGCTCTTAAAATACAACAGTGTGCAAAATTGTTACCAAATATTCTGAGTTTACTAGTCACCTCAAATATTGTCTATGGAATAATTCCCCAGCATATAAAAGTTTTAGTTTAATCTTTGAGAACTTTCAGAGTAGATTTTTTTCCTGTTGTAGATCCTGACAACATAAAGTACCAACTTCTCTCATGGATAATACAATGAAAATGTACCATTATTAGAGAGATGAGAGCCTGCTACTCTTCCCAGGAAGGTGGCATTTTCCTTGACATCTGTTATGTCCTCTGGTAGAAGTTTACAAGAAAAGGCAATCTGTGAACCACCCCGAACCCACGGTACATCCTGGAAAAACCGTGCTAAATTAAAACGCATTAGCTACACCAAAAGGCTAGGGAATGCAGAGTTGAAGAGCTGGAGATTTTAAAATTCCAGGAGGGGAGAGACTCACAATTTTGCATAAAAATCACAAAATTCCTTGTAGACTTTTACATCACTGTGCCTTCGCTGCAGCTTGGACACAGCCCTCTCGTCTTCATTTCCATTAGTCTCGAGGACACTGTTAAGGACTGTCCGGGGAATTTCTTCATTCTCTGGGATAGTGCACGGGCGTGATCGGCCTGGGAAGGCCATTGTACAGGCTTCAGAGTTCAGAGTCCTGTGATGCCGAGCAGGATACAGAGAAGAGAAACAATATCCAGGCCTCTTGTTTCCCAGCCAGGGTCACTCCCACTGTTCCCACATGCGTCACCCAGCTGCCAAGGTCGCTATTGACTTTTCATGTTAAGAGCTCAGTAGCATAGCAGTCTGGATCTATTACAGCTTTCTAGATCTCAAAAACACTGCACATTACAGTGACAATCTGTTTCTGAGCAATTCTCCATTTGGGTGTGCAAAGAAACTTTTGCAAAGCTTGGCGAGCTCCAGTGAGGACCTGTAAGTTCCTGAAATGAAGCTCTATGTAGTCTTCTACTATCTTTGTTTGTCATATAATAAACAACATAGTAAGAACTTCAACAAATGGGCGCAGCATAAATTAGAGCTAGAGTTCAATTGTAACTCTTCTACTT